ATTTTTAAATTACCTATAAAACCGACGAATCAAATAAATTTAATTGTTTATTAAAATGTTATTAAAATCCCATATGTACGCCGTATAAACATGAAAACTATCTTTTATTTTCAAGTAAAAAGGCTATTCGGGTACGAGGTTACATTTGGTTTTCAACGTTAAGATTTCCTACATTAGTATCTGAATATATTTAACAATATAATATACCAATTTAATATTAATAACCTACTTGTTAATTTCCAACGGTAAAAATATACACATAAATAATACGAGTACATTGCATAATATAATATTTGTGAATTGTGATTCTTTATGTAGAAATGTTCTATAATCACACATTTGTATTATTATTATTATTGTTGTTTATCCGATACCTATATACAATTTGTTCTTATATGAACAATAAGAATATTTGATAAATAAAAATAATTATTTTACATGATTATTTTGATGAGAGGAGTGACCCAGTAGACTGCAGTGGTAACGCCACCCTTATAAGTATACTTATTGTTCTTTTATTTTTATTTTTATTATTATTATTATTATTATTATTATTATTTGTTTTATGTATATTATTTTTTAGATTAATCATTGAGAACATGTCAACACCAATTCCTTTTACTCTTATCCAAAAAAAAAAAATAAAAAACAGCGTATGACACGGACGATGGACAAATGTAGTGAAGCAAATAGCGCGACAAAATATGTAGAAGCACACGAACCACAAATAACTGCAATTTAAATACTAATAAATTATATGAAATATTAAATAAGAACCGGAATGGCCGCTGAGCGCTTGGTACGGTTGTCCGGTCTCGCAGTCRGTCACATATATCTTGCAGTCACCGGCACCGCCACTGATTAGCAGACTGCTCCTGTTGCTCGTGTCCTCGATGAAACAAACGTCCCTGACCGTACCATCGTGCATGGCCAACTCAATCTCTTGGCCCTCCAGATTCGACGTGTCCGCGTTAAACCGCATCAGCTTGACCGTCTTGTCATTGCTTCCGGTGGCGATCAGCGATCCGTCTGGGGTCCACGACATGCAGTATATCGAACCCTTGTGATGTCTGGTACGTTTGAACAATACGGTCGGCTGCTGGGCCACGTGATTCTCTCTGAAACGACGAAAATGAACGATTCCTTTATTTCACCATCATTGAATGTGTTATTTTTTTATTGAAATAAAAGGCTTCAACATCACAGGTCATTAGTCTAAAAGTAATTGTAAGTTAATAATTTTATGAGGAGACATTTGTATAAAGGGGGTCAAGGGGGATGTAAAATATGTTATGTACAATTTTTTTTTTTTTTAATTACATTAGTTTTGATAAACCTATATTTGTGAAAAATGTATAAATATTTTTGCAGTTCTCTTCTCCCAGTGCTTATTGTGTTATGAGTTTTAACGGTAAAAAAATAAAGTGTACGAAAAGCTTCAGTATTGAATTATTATTTATAGGTACAAGAAACGTTTTTTCACGGGCTAATTGTACACCATCAGGCTTGTTAAATTCAAGATTTATATTTCCTACTTATTCTATATACGTATAGGTGGAAGGCCAAACGTAATATCACCTTAATTTTCTTTTGGATTATCATCACATATTAATTGTATATTATGTTATACCTACATGGCTACAAAAATAAGCCTATATGAATTTAACCACCAACCTCGATTACCCCTTACGTCGTCGATAGAAGTCGATATATGTATAATATATACCTATTTAGATACGTATATCATATAATACTCGATGAGGTATTTCAATAAATTTTACGATATAATATAATTACATCACCGTAAGGTTTTCGGCGTGTCAATGGTTTATCGAGTCATTTATATTTTATACAGTCATATACGAAAAAAAAGGCGGAAATACTACTGTTAAAGTGGATATAAGAATTAAGGAACTATCGTTGTGCTTGAGTGTCAAATACGAAACCAAAGCCCACGAATAACGGCTGTGGACTATACATGGTCGAGTGACGATAAATAATAGGATACATAACGTCATTACCCGGAATCCTGCGTTCATCTATATAATATTACAGCGATTAATGACAACAATTGTTTAATATTTTAGTATGAAAAAAAAAATCAAAAAATTTCAGTTAATTATAGGAAATAATAACACTTAACATTAATCTTTACCATTTAGTATTTCATAATGTTAGATAGGACATAATTCTGTAAATTAAGAATATAATTGCATATATATTTTTTCATGTTTTATTTTAAATATTATAATCTTTTCTCGGTGACGGTATTTTCACCGTAAATGTAATTTAAAATTATTGTGCATGTTGAAAGTACAGTATTAACATGAATTATTATTAAAACATAGGCGCGTAGTTCATTAAAATTACGAAAATATATTTAATTATGTAACTTGTAAGCATATTTTATTTACTTCGCTAAAAAACGTTTCAACTACTATTTAGACCTAAATAAACTGTAATTTTTTATAAATATCTGTACTTGTAAATGTTGTTCAATAAATAACCATCTATAATAAATACTGACGTAAAACTCATATATTCGATTAATTTTATATTAATATTATTAATTAATAAAATAATAACATACAAAAACATTTTTTTTAATCTTTAAACTACGATTAACAAAAACATGTTTTAATTAAACATGGATGAGAATTGTCTGGGATTTTGCAATGAAAATGTGAGTTTATAAAATATAATTATCAATAATGTTATAAATTTTTACAAGTAAATTGTACAAACTATTAAACTAAAATAGAAAAAAATAATACTAAAACTAGAATACTAAAACCAGCTGATTTTTATCAATCTTACAAAATGCATGTAAGAAATATAATAAACTACTGATATCGATTTATTATAAATATTCACGATACACAATGTATACAGTATACATTAATAATAATTAACAGTTATAACATATAAAAACTGGAACTAAAATCAATAAATGGTACTTAATGTGTAATTTAAATAATTTTTAAGAAACAGACATTATTATGATTTATGAATTATCTTCTTACCATCTTATTTATCATAATATGCGGTATGAAGTTCAACATTACGGTATATCGAATAGTATTTTATAGTTTTTAAGTAGTTATCTGCAATGTATACCTACAAATATTACAAACTTTCTAACTGCATGTATAAATGTCATTGGATCGTTTTTATGAGAAAACATGGTTGTAAAATGTAAACGAATAGTTACATATTGTGTAATAAAAAAAATTAACATAAATTGTTAGATTTCAATAATTTAAATGAAAATGTGTAGTAGTAGCTAGTCGTTATTGCACGAATTAAATGAGATTTGTTTGATTAATATGCGTGAAGTTGCGTAAATTGCGTATAACCGAAATACGACAAGCCGGACTTATTGAGATAATTAAAGACTTAATTTATTTTTTCTAGTCGTTTCTAATTTAAATCGACAACCGTCGATTCTAGACGTTTTGGTAGATGATTTTTTTTTTGAATTAATAACAGTATAATATACATGTAAGCTAGGACTTTTTCGCGAGAAAGTAAGATATACCTATATATTAATATATGATATACTTTCGACAGACGGCAAGAGCTTAATGCTCGAGGCTGTTATGCTAAACTTATTATTTTTTTAAACATGGTTCATATATTCCTTAATACAGTTTGGTTTTTTTTAACACAGTTTACACTGTTTACAGTACCGAAAACAACTAAACAGTCACTTCAAAATTTTCTAAAAACAAATATAATAATATCAAACCAATAATTAGAATTCATTCGACCCGTGTAATCGTGGAACGTGCCTTAATCACGCGTATTCAATGCGTAATGATAGAGTTGAATTTAACGTATACAAAAGTAAACGAGCTGATAATCATATAATATTATATACGTGAACGTCTCCGGCCGTGCGCAAATAATAGTTTTCGGCATGGAGATATTTCATAACAAGCGCCAGACATAATGGGTGATGATATTTTTCAAAACATTTGCACAAAAATCATAAATTTCACCGACCTCTCTGCGGACAAAAATTGCAGAATATATAATATATGTTTACATGCACATCGTGCGCACATGTGATTTGAATAATAGTCGGTAATAAACCATTAAACGATAGGCGGGAAGGGGCGCGGGTAGCCAATGATTTAGCGAAAGTGACGGAAAACGTTAAAAAAAATTTGCTTTTAATTAGATGTTTATTTTTTCTGCTTCTTCTTCACCTCTTCGCCTGTACCACTACGGTCCACGGCAGGTTATGTCTTAACGATAACAAACATGTAATCATTGACTCGGTTCGGCAGTAAGTGATATTTTACGTATATTTACAACCGTGTATATACGATAATAATATTATTATGTTGTTAATATATCGCGAGTCTCTAAAACGCGATTAGTGAAAGGCGATATTTAAATGCCATAGTCGCAAGCGAAAAGTCGATTAGTCCGGAAGGAAGTGTTTTTTTCGTTTCTGTATATGTTATATGGTGCCCCGAGCTATACGAACTAATAATATTTAGCGTTGCGTTATTATTATACAATACAACTTGACATTTCATCGAGACGTGCCAACGGTAGAAAAAACTACCTACGCCGATACTGACAACTATATAAAATAAATATTATGTAGTGTGAGCGGGTTCTTGGCATTCAACGGTCCCCGGAAGGACGATCCACAAGGTTATCACAACCTATCGGACCAGCAGCATAACAACGTACGACGTACGTTAGACCATCTCACTCGTCGCAATTATCATCGCCCATAACGTATTACACACAGTATTATAGTAAAGAATATATACTCTGAGTTGGCGCGTAGAGGCAATAGTTTCCAAATCGCGTTGTTAGGTAATTTTTACTGATAGTGTAAAAGTAGATATGTAAATGCAACCAAATACGACTCGGTTTGTAAATAAAATAAAAATCGTTCGCTTCAGATAGAAAACATGTTTTTAGGAAACAACCGTTTTGTAATTAAAAGAACAATTACGTAACGATTAGGTGATGTCAATCAAATTGTTATAAAAGGGTACATTGTATAATATTAAATTGTTAGTAGGAAGTTAAAAAAGAAGTATATACGCTAAAGATGCACCGATATTATGTGATGGGTACCAACGAAAATATGATACCACCAATGATTGGTTCAATACAACTATTTCTCGAATTACATATAAATATTTTATTTTTTTTCAAAGTTTATTAAGGCTTCAACAACACAGGTTTTTAGCCTACTTTAGTTAAAATTTATACAAGAAAAAGAAAGGAAAATATATATATGTATACATTAAATTTTGGAATACATTTTACTACATTATTATACTTACTATTTACAATGGGTATTTAGTGTTTATATTATGGAAAAATGTACTGATTTCAGCTGTGTTTTCATCTTTGAAGGCTTGATAGAGTGATGCTGGATTTTGGAGTATCTTGTGTGCTTCAGTGAATTTGGGGCAGATGATTACGATATGTTCAATTGATAGAGTTACGTTGCAAGTATCGTATATGGGTTAGGTATTATATATTAAGCTAATATTTAAGTCGAACTACCTAACATAATAAGCATAACCACAGAAGAACAAAGAAACATAGCAAACAAGAAAACATATATTCTATATGGAATACAGATCAATAATATTATATAATTTAGAATATATAGGTACCTACATAAATATATAATACGATAAAAATTGTAAATACCATGTTAGTAAAAACTATCATTTATTATGAATATCATTACGATTGTGTAAATACTGTTTTTAATATAATATTGTTAAAATGTAGTGTTCAAAATGACTTTATAGTCAATATATGGTTATATTTCAAAACTTGTAAAATTGACTGATATGCTCAATACATTTTATAATATAAATATAAATACGAAGCATAGGTGCTATAATAGAATATAATGATGATTCGTGAATTCATTGTTAGGCATAAAATCTGGAAATGACAATAAATTATAGATTTTTTTATTTATTCCTCTAACGGTTAGAGTTCATCCAATCATACATCGACTGCACAATAAACCGAAATTAACTAGATATAACAATAATAAATTCAAACGTATATTTCGTTTAATAAAGAAAACAAAATTCAAACGTTTTATTGTATTATTTTCTCTAAATTTTTTATTTTTTCCTTCAAACAAGTCTAAATACTCAACTATGAATAATAATTAAAAATTGTATGGCAATAAGTAATCACGAAACACGTATAAAAGTACATAGTTAGTAATGTTAGTATCATGGGTAATAGAGAAAATTCTTATTGAAAATTAAACGATCAAAAGATAACACTTGATCATCATAATAATATAAAAACATGTGATTCCTTGTACCCATACCAGTTTAACGACAAGTCTGGAAATACAATTATTTTAAGAGTATTTAAACACTGCTACGATCTACTTATAATTACAGAACCCGTTAAAATTATATTACACTGTCAGTTTTATATAGGTAATAAGTAGGTACCTTTTACCAGGCAACTTTTCTTATCCATGATTCGATTAATTAAAAAAAAATTATCTCGTGACGTTTCAAGTCTAAAATTATCAATTCCAAAATAGAAAATTCATTGGTGATTTATACAAACGAACATTATCAAGAAAACCCTTCAAAAGTATACGTAACAATAATCGGAATCTGATCGTCATATGTATTATGACTGTTATGCAACGATGAGCAATGAGCATACGTATATTATAGTATATAATATTATGATGTGTATGTGAAGTATTTATCTAACAATAACTATATTTATTCGATTACCTACAATAATTGTTCATCACACTGTCACTATTTCGAKCATTTTTTCAACACCTGTGACTTATATGGTAAAGTAAATTACAGTTTTCACCTTGCAACAATTTGAGAAAGTTCTAACACTTTATTTTGGATTATGGCAAATCGACAAAATGGAATTTTGCAACGAACATAAATCATAACAAATCACATCAATCGTGAAGAATATTTTTTTTACAAATGAACGATACTTGAAGAGAAAAAAATGACACAATCTAAGTCATTAGAATAGCGTAAGTAAGCAATAATAGCTTTCACTTGGTTTTCAATAACGACTAAGCGCCAAAGAAGAATATATATATATAATATATTATGTTATATACAGACATACATAATATAATTTTATAAATATCATACCGCCTTACTGATCACTAGGGGGGAGGGATTTTCTTTTTCTTCTTTTATGCTACTTTTCTGGATCATTACTGAACAAATCATTGAGTAAATGGTTAGTATGACTAACCTACAAACCGGACGAGTCTTTTATATTATATATATATATATATTAATATTAATTGATTGTAAATAACGTTAGGTTTCTTTGGACACTAAAGAATATAATAATAGTGGACTTTTTATGACCCATCATATTAAATGACGTGGTTACCTCATTTAGATTATAAACACTACACGGAAACTATATATTTTCTATTTATAGGTATTTTAATGAGAGCCTATAAGAGAAAATCAAAATAAACATAATTACTTTTTATTATGTAATCAATGACATTTGTGAAAAAAATATGTGCAAGTCATAAGAAATACACTAAAATTACTTATTATATTTCATAGGCAATTTTTAAAACTAAAATCTATTGTGTTTGTAGGAAAAAAAGAAAAGTTATCGGATAGGTAGCTAATTTTTCGTCATAATTGTAAGGTTATCACTGAATAACGTCGATATTACCAATGAATATTAAAACTATTTTTGCATTTAGATTTACTTCGTAAATATTTGTGGTAAACCAAAATATAATTCTTACACATGTTTGGTATTATACTCAAACCACATCGTCTGTATATGAACGCTAAGATTAACTGCGCATGAACTGTGTACCGTAAAAATAATTGTCAATTATTTACTTTTTTTCTATAAAGTAATACTAAGAAAAAAACTGTTAAACCTAACTTTATTATATTAAATAGCACACGTGTGCTCATGTAACCCGAGACATAGGACATTATCACCGTATTCCTAAAGTATATGGTTTCGAATTTAAAGTGCACACATTTTAGCCAAAAAATACGTATTTCTACAAAATTCGAGTAAAGAAAATGTTAGATCAAAAATATTTTTGGTGGTAAATGAATCTAAAACATTATGAAATACGTAGGTACCAACCTATTATAATATATACAGTGTGATCGTCATCGCGTGAATAAATTATACTGTTGCCACAGTCTCATGCTGTCTCGAGACAAATGAAATAAAAACTTAATCCGTTATTCACAGTTATTTAAATTATAAATTATAATATCACTAGACACATACAACGTTTATTTAAAAACACCATTTGCGCGTTGTAGGCGTCATGCTAAATATGAATTAATAATATATACGATATTATAATATACCTCTGTAATACGATTGTGTATAGGTATGTTTTGTTATTACTCAACAAATCGGTTTGCCTATACAGTAAAATAATATTATATTATATACATGGAACATACGAAAAGTGTACCAGTTCTGATTTTATAAGTCACGAGACACGACGGGATGTACGGGTTTTGTGCTTCGAAAACTTGTGCAACGATCACACGCGGCGTACGAACAATAAAATATTACAATAATCATAATAATAATAATAATATAATATCATAAACTCTAAATGTGCATCACAGATTCACAGCACAATGCACTGTATATTTTATTATTGTAAAAACACTCTCCGTTTGTGGCTGGTAATCTCTCACCTTTCGAAGGTTATGGATTGCCGAATGGGTTTTTTTCATTAAGTTTCCAAACGAATTTTAAACCAAAATTGATATTTGTTTATGCACGCAACGATGTGGAAAATATTACTAATGACTTATAATTTATAATTAATATTAACCTCTAAATTTGAACCCTTGCGATTAACGTTTCTACTAAACACAATATGGTATGAATTATGAAGGCCTGAAGTTGTGCGAAAACATCAATGTATTCTTTAAAACGGCCTAAACTAACCTTAAACTCTCCAAGCAAAATGAGAAAAAAAATGTCCCAGCAATAAATTCATTGGGAATTAAACTTCACTCGTGATACTAAAAACCAAATTAGTTATCAGATTTTAAGTCAAATGTATTAACAAATTGAAATATATTAGCTAAGTGGGATCAAAGCTAGAAAGAATATGTAGCAATAATGTCACAAATAAATAGGAAGTAAAAGTTTTGTCAAGTTTATTGAAGAAATCTGCAGTATATATTCAATATCACAACATTCACAAACACTAGTTATTTCGAGCGCTTTAGTCTATAGATATATAGAACAAAATTAGTGAGCAGATCATGTAATTTTCACGTTTGGTACTTGGCTCAAGAATCGTGTATTTAAATATTTTACCAACATATTATGCCAAATACAGATATCGCTATAGGTGTCTAGGTATAAATAATTGGATATCAAAAAGCATGATTTATATGTATATATGATGTATAAGCATATAGGTATAACCAATTTTCTAGACTGACGAAAATGTACCATAATTATATATACTTTTAAACTCATATCTTATAACAGTAATATGGTATAGATGGAGTATAAATAGGTATCACAACAGCAAGAAAAATTAATAGATTTTTCTTAACTTTCCGTTCTTTAAAGATTTTCCACACTTCCGTACAGCACTAAGTAAGGTATAGATATAAAACTGAATGTGGTATGCAATATTACAAAATTACAATCGAAAAGTGCACATTTCGAAAAATATTTAATACTTTATATACTTTTGTGAAAGCCGATTTACAATAATTGTTTCCGATTTCTTTGTGAGTAGGTATATTAATATAAGTGATCCTGAGTAACAATATAACAACAGCAGCAATTCCGGAGAAAATAAATTAATAAACTTAGAGCCTAAGATAATAATGCATACCTATATAATAGTATAGCTAATATAATAATATATTATAATGGTAATCGATATCGCGGCAATGGTTTGAAGACGGCGCGTGTCGAATGATACTCTCGGTTATAGGTATATACCTATTATAATAAGTATACTGTACAGATAGATAGATAGAGGGGGCGAGAGAGGGCAGAGAAAGAGGATGAAATAAGCATAAACGAACGGCGACGATTACATTATAAAGAGACGAGTGCGTGTCGGAGGCTCGCGTGAGTTATCTATAATAATAATTATACTTATATTTTATCTCTCGGTAGAAAAAATGAGAAAAATTGAGTGGGGTCGTAGATAGAGAAAGAAATTTACTGACCTGATATCCGTCACTTTGGGATAAGCGCATATCCGAAGCGTTTTGGAATTGGATCCGACAGCGTACACGGAACCGTGCGGATGGAACTCCGCGCACCGGACCGCCTGCACGTCCTCCAACCGGGTGACCGGTATGAACCTGGGTTTGCCGTGTTGATCGCTATTATCCTGTAATCCATCGCCAGAGTGGTTGGCGCCGGTCGTCTTGTTGCTGCCGATGGCCGCCGTCGATGTCGGCTGAAACGATAGAAACGCCAAATTATAAATAATATTATTAGAAAATATGTAATATATTATCATTACGAGCGACGAAGCGTAAAACCATAATATTATACAAGTATTTGGTGTCGTGAGTAGAAGGGTACATAGGATACCTATGTATTATTATATTGATAACGTAAATACGACAAATAATGTATAATAACCACAGATATATGATACAATATAGACAGCCAATTGTCATAGCTATATTATAGTCACGCGCAATGCGTTGTTTTGAAGCCCAGGAAATTATACACTTTTATTATCAAAGAGGTAGCTTACCATTTCAAATTTTCGTCATGCCAAAACCAAATATAAATATAAAATACAATTGACTTCTACCTCCACATTTCAGATCTTATCAATGAACAAATTGAAATTCAAACCACCTTGGTTAAAGTAGACTGCGGACTTCGACATTATATATATACCCAATTCGGCTGTCTATACCTATATAGTTATATTATGTATCTGTGCTAATAACGTTAATTTAGATAAACTATAGGTAGGTATATTATTATTGCAATGTATATCCTCAATAATATATAGTTCTAAATGTATAAAACTTTAATTTGAATTCGTTTTCTAATATTTATATTTTATAAATATGTATTATATGTAGAATTTGGTGATAGTATTACTTAAAACTTTTAAAGCCGTTATTACATTCAATTGATAGGGCTATAATACGTATACTGTAATACGAGTAAAACATTTCAGTATATTTTACTCACGTGTCACCCGCGGTGTTATTAGATTATTAAAGTGATACATCTACTACACTATATGTATAATTATTATTATTATGGCCATCATTTGGTAGTACAGTATACAGGATGAAGTCTAAAATATTCCGATATTATAGGTACATTATATGGTAGGAATTATTCATTATCAATCCATTAATATATATACTCACTCCTCGCCCTGCACGCTTTACCACCACGATTCGCAGTAATTGTTTTAATATTGTCTATACACGCCAAATCATACACATACAATAATAATTATGATATTATAATATCATCACGGAGGTACACGGCCAAGCGCTTTGATGAGAACAATATACGGTACAATATAGCGTCGTGCATTATTGTTTATAATATTATAATACAATCTATACTATACGCGTTGAGGTCCAATATCGTTTATGATTTCGTGTTAAATTTGTATTCGAAAACAATGACGCCGCTGTGAGCCCGTGGGCAACAATACATCACACTCGACCGACCGACCAACCGACCAACCGACGGGGTTGGTCGTCGGAGTCGGTCACGGTATCGCGAGTTTCTAGTCCGCTCGCACCAAAACCGCTCGCGTTTCTGTACGGTGCAATGTACAATACACACACCTACGCGGCTACTTTATATTTATATATAAATATACAGTTGTGACCATGGGCGTGTTATGCGTGAAAATCGCTTTTGAACCGAAACGTCGATGATTCGTATATAGGTACCATATTAGGAGTATAATACAAAGTTACGCACCTGTACAACCTATACGATATGCATTTGTGTGAAAAAATTGAAAACATATAACATTGTACATACGATATGGCGATGAGTTAAGTCATTAGTATACTTTTGGTGGTTGACTTGTGATGCTGAATTCATTGTCGAGAGAGAGACGCGCGCAGGGATACTGCAGAGTACACCAATTTATTTTTCAGGTATTTGAACGACGTGTTCCCTACTTGATTATGTTCTGTTCGAGTGATCACCGCGACATCGCTCTATGCTGATTTAATATTTTATAGTTTGTAATAACACATTTGAGGGGATCATTATAAAACGTGTGCGGCCATCGATTATATAATATTCATACAATGTTAAATCCGTGTGAGTCAACTGTTCTATAAAAAACGCATCACGCAAGGAAAAGGAACTAATTATAAAATTAAAATATTTTTATATTGTGTTCACTATTCACCTGTAGGCTTTGAACATCATACACGTCCTCCGATCGCCTATGCATTTAGTTATTATAAATTATAATATTATGTATACCTATATGCGGATAGGCGTTTATTGAAAACAACTCGACGACCCAATTTCGTATGGTAAATATAGATATGTATAATAACTCGAATCGTTTCAAGAGCGACTCTTCCATTTTTAACAATAATAAAAAAAAATGTCTGACCATCGTAAACCACTGCACTGCGCAAGTCGGTCAACCGTAAAAACAAATCGACGGCGACGGCGTGTTCTACATACTATGGCCAAACATGCACGTATTTCAATGCATTTTATTTATGCGAAAGATGGCAAAAGTGTCAATGCATTACTATAATATGGTATGATTAAAAAAAAACCTAATATTAATAAAGTGCCAGACGACTAAACACCGATAGTATAATGGATAATTATAATACGATCATATTATTGTATAATGCTGAATTTGCTGTCATTAATTACCAGTATAGGCTTCCCTATTTAAAGACATGTATATGATGTATAGACGTATAGTACTTACAAACTATAATAAGTAAGAATGTAAAATAGTCTTAAGGTATGGTTTCGCTGCAACGGAACAGCAAGGCCGTCAGTTGCTGTTACTCAGCATCTATATAGATGCTGCTACAGGTAAACCGTACCTTTCACACATTTTTAAATCACTTCGGGAAGAATACGATTTTAAATTGATTTTTAGTATTAATTAATTTGTTTGCATGGGTTCACGACTGTAATAATTATATGATACTATCATATTTCGATACCAAATTTTCGAAAATACGTCAGCTTTGCATATCTGTTGGTGTAATTATTTTAGCTTCTTAACGTAGGCTTTCTCAGTCATGGTCACGGTAATACTAAAAATGTATAAGTATGTTGAATAAATAACAATTTATTAATTGCATGCCATGTACTAATTATGTAAACGCGGTATTAAAAGTATATTATGTCTTAAATTTAAGTATGGAAATATATTTAATTTACGATATACATATAATATAATGTGTATATTGAAAGCGGAGAATTTAGGATGAAATTGCTACATTTGCTGGATGCTCATATCTAAAATTATGTATAAAAAAAAGAAATTATCTCAAGGTTGAGAGAAAATTTAGGTAGACTTAATTTTTTAACTCAGATCTCTTGCCAATGAAATTCTCGGTAATCCTTCTAGACACTTAAAGCGCAAATGGTGTAGACTTATACAAATATTTTTAAAATTCAGTTAAAATGAATAAATAAAAACACAAAAAGAAAATGTCACCAATGGGATGCTTCTTTAGTCAAGTGACAACAATGTACTAATTTCATTCACTTTATAAACTTATAGCTTAGTACTTATTGTACTTAAGCAGTGAAGGTACAAATTGTGTATTTAAAATTTAAAAAGTGGGCGTATAAAACAATCAACGATTGATTGGTGGTATTCGCCGAATACGTTAAAAAAAAGAAAATATTAATATTAAAATATAAATTATGTTTGAATTATTTAATACATATTAAAACTAGTTGGTTAAATCAATGTAAATTAAAATTGGCGTCATACGATATATAATATTACAATATAAAAATGCACTACATGGTTTTATATTACCATCTGCTGACACCCAAATATGTAACCATTCAATGTAATAGGTACGTAGTAAGCCTGCTAGTCGTAAGTTAAAAGTTTTATTTCTCCATAAATTGTTATAGGATTGTATTCACATTGCTCAAAAGTATTTTTAATTATATTTTTTAACAACTGCCGTTTGATGTAATATTACATTTGATATGTACTATTTAAATTCCTACACAATATTATATGTAATGTAGATATAATATATTATGTAGGTAGTATTAAACATAAGAAATATTAACATATTCAAAAAAAAAAAAAAAAATACCTAATAGCGTTAATCATAATTATCTCTTGAGAAGACTACAAGCTATATAGAAATACATGAAATAAAATGTATAAAAGATGATTATTAAAACTTTCTAAAAAATTCTAAGTTAATTCATTAGATTTTTATGTGTAGCATTAATATAATTCACAAATGAAGGTAATATTAATATAATGCTGGCTAAATTTCGATGATTTTAAAATAGATATAATTGATTTATATAGGTAGTATTTTTAGTAAGAGTAACGTATTAATAAATTATTCTGCGAGTTGTGTATATCTGTAGTACTTGTAAGATATAATGATCGATCACAATTTTATTGGAAAACAAAAATCGTTAAAAGCATTCAATAATTTCATAATGAATTCTCTAAAAAAAAAACAGCAAAATTAATTTACCATTTAAACCTAGTTTTATATAAATAAACAGCTAGCACTCAGCAAGACCGTATACATATTATATAACCCATCATATATGTATATGGGTTCGAAAAGAAAACATAATAAATTTTATTCTATAAAAATGTGTTTCACTGCGTCAGGATTTGAAACTTAAAAGGTTTTAGAGCATATTTTCTGGTCTTATAAATGCATGACACATATCTAAAATTTGTTGATTATTATATAACGTATTTTAAAATATTTTGTCATTCAAACTTTAAAAAAAATATTGTTTTGAAAATATATATATATTATTTTTTTTAATGTTATTTTGCAATGACATAATTATGTACATATATAAAAAAATAATATATGAATAAGTTAAAATTTTCAAAATAATGAGCGTATAGCCTCTCAAATCAATCTCTTTGTGTTAATGTAATTTTTTTTTTTAGAAATGTGAAGACGTTTCTTTACTAATAACACATTCTTAAAAGGGTTATTGAAACCCGTCCGTTAACAAACGACTAAAATAAAAACACTTAAACGACCAATTAGTTTCGAACCTGATTTCTACTTTACTAATATAAATTTTTGTCGCTAAAAGCCAATTTTTATAATGCCACCCCGCTGTCTTTAATATTATTGTCCTTCCGCGCGATAACTTTTATGTATACACTTCAGCAGCACGCTCGGGTTTTGATGACAGCACGCATTAGTCATATCAGACATACTTCATATTATATATTGT